AATCTTTTTAGTAGGCAAGTTAATGTAACTCCCTCGAGCTCCTCAAGGGCTTCTCCTACTACGTCTAAGAGAAAAAGCTAAACTCCTTATGATGTCACGAAATGCCCTAGGCCACGAACCAGCAGCTGCTGTGTTCTCCCGACACTCGTGGGAAAGTCCATGCAGTCTGTACACCTCCACCCTCTGCAGATCCGTCCTTCTCTGCCACTCTCCTCTAGTTCTCCTTTAGAACTTCTCCTATTTCTCCAGCAAGCATCGGGGTGCTTTGCTCTGACCCCATCATGGCCTGTGTGCTTGTGCACATGCGTGCATGCACAAGCGTATGTACCCACTCATCTAGCTAGCAGTCTCATCTAACCAAGACTATCAGCGCACTGTGACCCCGGCGGCACGACTCCCTCTGCAGCAGACTGGACGTAACTTCGGGGCACGAACAGTGCTTCTGGTCTTGTCATCTCTAGTGCTAAGACACACCGCATTCAGAAACTTCTCAGTTCAAGTGTCTGTAAGTGTCTGGGAATTTTATCGCAGTGCCTCTAGACCAAAAGAAACATGCAAAAGTTCTGTTTTCTAAGTCCGAACAACTCAGTACATATTCATGTTTTAGCAACTAGCTATGTACCAAAATAATACATGTAAACAAAAAAGAAAATATTTTATGCCATTCTTTATTTTTAACATTTTTTCTTTTCTCTCTCTCTCTCTTTTTTTTCTTTTAATTTTTTTTGCTATAGGGCGCATGCGCTCACTAGAGAGCGAGACAAAGACACACAGAGAGAAAGCGAAAAATCACCCCCTACCAAGGGAGTATGGCCATACCGCAACCCTTCTCTTCCATTCTCCTCCTGGGACTTGAGGCTCATATGCCTGGTGTGATTTTCAAGCCACTGGGTCCAGGATTCGAACCACAGTCGATCATGCGGGAATCCGGTGACTTAACTACTGCACCACCCGCTGGCCCTTGTACCATTCTTAAATAGCCACAATTAACTAGCGATGCAATTGTGTGTAGCCTGCAGGACATTATGCGACTTCTCAAGCTGAGGGGCCCGAAAGGACACGTCCACTCTCATTTCCTGCTCCGTACTTATTCTGGGATGGGATTTGTTTTTATCACAACCACCACTGAGAAGTCAGCACCGCAGAGATGTGATGAGGTAGAACGAAATGCAGCGTGACGGATGTCGAATGGCAAGCTACCTTGGGCTGGCAATTTGCCTGGTGTCTCACAGACGTCAAATCTCACTGAGTCTCCCTTGAAAATTAAATATTCCACAGCATCCCTGCGAGCTCACGGCAACACCCCAGCACACAATTTGGGAACCACGTGGTGCCAAGGAGTCATTAAACATTTGTGTAATCTACCCGAGCTATTATAGAATGTTTGTATGGTAAATCTACATACACATTTCATCGAGATACTGTTTTTTTAAGGAGAAAAAAACAGTTAAAGAAAAGTACTAAATTTTTTTTTAGTCAGAGAGTAAACAGTCCAGGCTTGTGGGTCAGGTGGTCTCTTTGGCATGACTTTGGTACAGAAGATGACTGATATAATTGGTGAAGCTGATTGTGGTATTGAGCAGGAGGAGGCTAGCAAATGGAAGAGGGTAAGGGGCTGGAGCACCTGTCCATGTGGCTAGACAGAAAAACGGATCAGGGAAGAGAATTCCCCCAAGGAATGCGGGTAGGAGATTTCCAGTGGGGATGTCTTGCTGATTAAGCCACATTTGATAAAGCCAATGGGATGAGAGAAATCAGTAGGCCCAGCCAATGATCGGCTGACGGGACCCTGCTTATGGATGAGAAACCCCATGCAAAGTAACCACCGGGGCCCTTGAGCTACTCTTTCTCTCTTGCTCTGCAGCCCCCTCCTACTTCTTGGTGTGTGTTTCCATTTTTACTGAGTAAACTATCCTTTGCATTTGCCACTGGCATTTTCATTCAATTCTCTGTCCAAAACACCAAGAACCCAGAGATCCCTGAAGCTATGCAGTAACAGTGTGAGAATGAGGTGTTAGTATCTCCAGTGTTTATCTGCCGCCTTTACCCGTGATATTGTGGTTACATGGGAGAATGTCTCTGCTTACGTAAGCTGTGCTCTAAAGTGCCCAGGGCTGTTGGGAGCAAAGGCAGTGGCACACCCTCAAACAGGCCACAGAAGGAGGCTCTATACGGTGTTCACGGCTTTCTCATCATTTAAAATCATTTCCATTTCTTAATTTTTAAAATTAAATAATGGAGGAGCAGGTATGGTCTATATTTACATCCTATATACATATTCCTACTTGTATTCTAAGTACATATATATCCTGTATATTTATATGCTTTCTGTAGTCATATTTCCATGCTCTACAGATACTGCTGCTCTCGATTTAGGAGAACCATCGGCCTGCTCCCATCTCAGGTGGTCTTCTCCCATTTCTTCACCAGGCAAAAACGCCCTCTGGAATGTATGAGGACAATGACTATAGAGTTTTATTCTCCTTTATTTAGGGCTTTGAAGTTAGGTAAATTTCACTTGACCAACAAGTCTTACTGAACACCATTATGTGAAATAGAGAACGAAAGGAAATAAAACATTTATAGAACATCTATCTGTATGTGTCACTCAAAGAAGAATAGGAATGGTTTCTGTCCTTAAAGATTATATATAGGAGGGCAGCAGGTGGCGTGGTAGTTAAGGCGCTGGACTCCCATATGGCCAACCGTGGTTCAAATTCCAGACCTGGTGGCTTGCTTTCTTACTTCTCTCACTTTTCCTTTCTCTCTCTAGTGAGTGCATGTCCCCTAGCAAACTAAAATAATAATAATGATGATAAATAAAATTAAATAAATAATTATTTAAAAGTGCTTAAAAAAAGATTATATATTGTTTAGGTAGACAAGACTGACATATATGCACTTCTATGAGAAACATCTAATTAAGTAGAAATTTATATAAAGGGATTAGCTCTGTATCTTACCCCACTCATCTCAACCTCATCAGGAAGAGCAATGAGAATTACCAAGGATGCCTAATCAAGGAAAGCAGAGAGAAGGACAGAGTCACCACAAAGGCGGGAAGCAATACTGACAGGACAGCTCTGCATAAACTGAGAGGACAGGGAACCAGATCTCCACCGTGGACAAGAGAAACAGGCAGACCCTCCAAGGCCCGGGTACTGAATTCATCTGAACTGTTAACTATTTGCTAGCCACCCTAGGTGACCCTCATACTTCCGAGGCACTTATTGTGATGCGGGTATACAGAAACCTTGGCATTTGTGTAAACCTAGCTGTTCAAAAGAATCCATGTAAAAATTAGCAGTGTATGAGGAAGCAAACAAACAAAGACTTGGGATATTTTTCTAGGTCAGAGATTATCAAACTGAAGTTATTAATAAATATTTTCTGAGAAAATACAATATTCAAATAAATTTGGGATGCAATGAAACAAAGCAGGCACATAGCTTTATTATAGAACTTTCTGGAGCCTATAATATGCTAATGTGCACTGTATGTCCCAAGTGAAGGAGACTACATGCAGCGTCTTGCTTAGTTCACTAGCCACATCGGAACATCTAAGCACAGAAGATATCTTAACTATGGAGATAGAATGAATTAGAGAGAGAGATCTGTGACCAGGCAGTGGCACACAGAGATGCAACTTGACCACATGGGGAGGTCCTCAGCTTATGTCCTGAGAACACTCTGCACAGAGTGTGTGTGTGTGTGTGTGTGTGTCTGTGTGTGTGTGTGTCTGTGTGTGTGTGTGTCTGTGTGTGTGTGTGTCTGTGTGTGTGTGTGTCTGTGTGTGTGTGTGTCTGTGTGTGTGTGTGTCTGTGTGTGTGTGTGTCTGTGTGTGTGTGTGTCTGTGTGTGTGTGTGTCTGTGTGTGTGTGTGTCTGTGTGTGTGTGTGTCTGTGTGTGTGTGTGTCTGTGTGTGTGTGTGTCTGTGTGTGTGTGTGTCTGTGTGTGTGTGTGTCTGTGTGTGTGTGTGTCTGTGTGTGTGTGTGCACGCACACATGCCCATTATCTAGGCTAGCTGAGGCTGGGATGCACTGTGGCATGAAGCCCCTATTGAGGGTGGCTGTCTCTCCCTCTCTCTTTGAAGAAAGATATAAACTACTTTGGGAAGTGTAACATCAACAAAAATAATAACAATAACTCCATACAGTGCTTCCTAGGAGCCTCACACTCTTCTAAGAGGTAGAATAATTGGGATACCTATTTTACATTGAAGAAAATATGATATGTGACATGTTCCAAGACACCAGGAGATGCCTAAAACTGTGGATAGCACTGAACATATAAATATATATATTTTGTTCTGATAACCAATGCAGCTACCAAGTGAGTATCACTCAGTAGTGTATACAGCATGGATACACTGACAAAGGGATGATTCATGTTCTGCATGGGACAAAGACGAACAGAGTAGGATGGAGTGGACGGAGAGGGACGGAAAGGGACAGTGCAAAATTTCACCACACTACTCCGAACAGCATGCAATGTAAAACTTACGAACTGTTCATTCTGGAATTTTCTGTGTGGTATTTCCAGACTTCAGTTGATTAGAAGTAACTAAAACTACAGAAAGTAGAACTGCAGATAAGGGGGAACTCCAACTGGGACGATTAATTAAATTGCTGAGGGTCACAGGGCTAGAAAGCAGTAACACCGCGTTTAGAATCAGTTCATCTTGTACCAGCGCCCGCGCTTTTAACCATTACACTATGTGACTTACCAAAATGTTCACTCATCCATTCCAAAATATTAGGTCGTAAGCAAGAATGCTAAACAAGCATGATGATTCGGCTAGGAATTTTTAACACCCTATTCACTGCAATTGAGGATGAAGGAAGCTAGCAAAAATTCTATAATTATTATTATGAAGTATACAGTCACGATAATTTGCAGTTCATTAAAATTAGGAAGCTTTTCAAGCAAAGACTGTGCACCCCGACTTCCTAATCCACAAGGAGGAAAGCAACACGGCAAGCATTTCGGAAGGCGTCTCACCGTGATTCTCTTCATATCTAGCTGGCGCAGCTGCATCATATTCTGAAAGACAGTGTTTTTGTACCATGACTCTTGGGCTATTGGGTTGCCATCAAAACTGATGTCCGAGTGGGAAGCAGAGTCGGCAAGGCAGGACACACTGTCAAAACTGCAGGCAAGACAGAAACCACCGGATTATTCTGAGGCCTTCAAACAATACCTGCACTTTTTAATAGACTTCATTCTTTCAGAACAGGTTTTAGACTTATAGAAAAATTAAGAAAATGGCATAGAGAGTTCCCAAATATTGCGCACACAGCTTCCCTCAGTGCTAACATCCCGTATTAGCATAGCACACTTGTTATAATAAATGAATGAATAGCGGTGCCATCTGACTGAGTCCGTCTTTCCCAGATTTTGTTATCCGACAGGGGCGCTGAGCAGTGTGTGAGGTTTCTTGGTTCTTTGGATCCAGATCTCTAAGAACAGAGACCTGCCTTAAGATGCAAAATGAGAAAACCACAAACACAAGTAAAGTAGGAAAAGGGAAGTTTTCATAGCAAAGTTAAGATTTTTACCCATGCCAGAAATGCACGCAGGTGGGCAGCTGCCAGAGGAGGACAACTGCACTGGGCATGCTACTTTCATTGTGAGAGCTGGTAAGAAATATTTGCAGGAAAGGCCTGCTTTCCTTTGTTTGGATCTCCGCCCCCATGTGCTCTGTGCTCCTCAGCCATTACACTATGCTCCTTCAGGGGTGCACTTTGAGGAATCGGATTACCTAATTGCGCATGGTCAGTGTGATCTTTGGGAGTATGGAAATTCATATATGGAGGATCCTCCCTATTAATGTATTGCCTGAGTGGGAATTCAAATGGTGACCTATTACACCATCCCATTCCAGCACCAAGAGCCAGGTGGGAGGAGGGCGTTCTTGCAGAGGGTCTGGTTGTAACTCCTGGTAGGCTGGGACCGATGAGGTGGATGTCCTCCCCGTTATCTCCGGGCTGCCGGCTCATATATGGCTGACTACCCATCACAGCTTCCCTCATTTTTACCAGGATAGCACACTACACTGAGTCGTCCTGGCTCTTAAAGTTCCTCTTGGCTATGACGGTAGCTCGGACTGTTTCGAACGTCTCGACAGTTCGGAGGAATACGGACTTGCTGCGGTGTAGGATGCGCTCTGGTAGGATTGGTCTGATACTTTTTTCTTAGCCAGTGCTAAGGCACATACTAATCTCATGCTCTGCCAGTGTTGGAGTGGCCTCTGACCCCTGGCTACATCCTGCTTTCAGGTCTCTCTGGGGTAAAGTGACTAAGCCTGCCCTCTCCTTTTCTTACTGAGGTCTTTGGAAGGGAGTCACCATGTGAAGCCTGTACTCACGGTGGCAGGCTAAGAACCCCCCAACTCTGAGGGCAGTACCTATGTGAGTTATTTGGAACTGTTCCCAGAAGACTTGCTTTTTCTTTTTCCCTATATTTTTCACAGTCCCTCATGCTGACCCCTGACCCTTGCACCCTGCTCCCACCGGTAGAGGTGTTAGCATGGAAACGAATGCCTCAGTTCTTGCCTTCATAGAAGAATTTAGTGAAAAGACAGTCATACGGGGACAACAAAGTTCTATAGCAGGTAAAGCCAAAGTACACAGCAGGGGAATGGAAGTGGAAGAACACCCAGAGGAAGCAGCGGCTGGCCCACGGTGCATATCGGCTAAGGCTCGTCTTGTGTGCCCACGTACTTGTTCGTATTGGTCTGACTCTTGGATATCTGTTTTCAGCCATTAGCCAGCGCTACCTGACTTATTATGTCCTTCCATTCTGCCAGCTCAGGCCACTGGAAGCTCTTTCAGTTGACTCCTTTGTCCTTTCAAGTCCCATCAGGGTATTCTGTTTGTTCTCGTAGCACTTCCTTACTTTCTGGAACTACCAGGTTGCCTTGATTCGGATTATGTTCCTGTCTCAGATCTAGAACCAGCCATTTCTCTAAGGAGTCACATTTTCTTTTACTGGAGAATATTAGAAAAAAGATCTAAGGGCTTGGCATACTTCTTGCTACCATTTCTATTAGGCCCTCTCAGCTGACAGAACAAGGAAATGCGCGTGTGCGTGCGTGTGTGTGTGCGTGTGTGTGTGTGTAGTAACCCGTGTGTACACACATACCTGTAAATATCTCTCTGTAATCATCTGTGCCTGTATTAAGCTAAACATGAGCTCATACTGATGCCTCGGTTCTAATCTATTACCAAACAAATCATTCTAGTCTCCTATCCTTGCTTATCTGAAAATTCTTGCTCCAACAAGGAGAAATTGGTTGGATTTCTCACCATCTGCTATCTACTTAACAGTTCAATTCTAGTGCATATGTATAGTGCTATCAGGACTTTAACCAGTTCCCTAAATATAAAACAACTTTATTAGCTAAAGAACAATGATTAGGTATAATTCCTTTTGCATTAAGTCTTATAGACTCATTTCCAAAATCACATAGGTAGTGCCTTTTCCCCCATTCCACATGTTTCCATATATCTGAGTACAATTACATTCTACTCTATAATATCCCAAATTCTAAATGATTTGTTAAATCTGCATATGTTGAGTTTCACGCTTCATACTGTAAAGTTCTATAGGTGTTAACAAATGCATAATATCATGTATTCACAATTCAAGTATCGTAGAGAGGCCCATCCCAGTGGTGCAGCCAGCAGCAAACCAAGCCGCAGTGCTGGAAGCTACAATGGCTGTAGCAGTTCTGGTCACTGGGCTGGATTGAAAACACTCCAGGCATGTGCACCTCTCCCCCAGATCCTGAGGAACTGGAGGGCTGGGGGACTGGATGATGAGACTGTCAAGGGCACCTCTCACTCTCTTATGCATGTGCATGCACCATTACGAATAAAATAAACTTTTAAAAGTATCATATAAAATATTGTTTCATGGCCCTAAAAATTCTGTGCTTCACTCAATCCAATCTCCTTTCCCTTCCCCAAGCCCTTGGCAACAATGATCTTACTGTCTGTATAGTTCTGACATTTCCACAAAGTCATATAATTTAGAATCATAAATCATACCATTTCAAACTGACTTTTTTTATTTGGCAATATGAATTTAAGGGTCATCCATGCATTTTCATGGCTTCATAACTAATTTCTTTTTCTTACTGGGTAATATTTCATTGTATGGATGTACGACAGTTCTCTTTATTCATTACACCTATTTGGCACATCTTAGTGGCTTCCAGTTTTTGGTGATTACAAATAAAGCTGCTGTCACTATTCATCTGCCGGCTTCTGTGTGCACACAGCTTTTATCTCAATTGGCTAAATACCTGAGTCATTACAAGATCACATGGTAAGGTTATGTTCGTTATGGTTTGTCAGAAACAGCCGACTGCCTTCCCAACCAGGTGTACCATCTTACATTCCTACCAGCTCCCATCCTCATCGGCATTTGGCATTTGTCACTGTCTGGGGACATTCACCCTTCCAGGAGGTGTGTATCTCATTACTGTAATATTCAATTCGCTACTATCAAAGGATGTTGACCATCTTTTCATATGTTTATTAGCAATCTTTGTGTTCTCTGTTCTTTTGTCCATTTTTAAATTTGATTCTTTGTTCCATTACTATTGAGGTTTTTTTTTTTTTTTGGAGAGATTTTCACTATGGGGCGCGTGCGCTCACCAGACACAGAGAGAGTTAGAGACAGAAAGCGAGAAATCACCCCCCAGGGGGGATGGTCACGCCGCAATCCCTTCTCCTCCATTCTCCTCTCAGGATCTTGGGCACACACGCACATGCGCCCGGCGTGAGTTTTAAGCCACCGGGTTCGGGACGCGAACCGCGGTCGACTACGTGGGAGTTCAGCGACATAGCCATTACACTAACTGCTGGTTCCCCCCTGTTACTATTGAGTTTTAAGAATATTTTTACATTAAGACTATTTTTGCATTATGGATATGTCTGTTATCAGATACACATTTTGTAAATGTTTGCAGATATTTATCCCAGTCTGTGAATTCTTTTCATTTTCTTAAGTGTCTTACATAGGACAGATGTTTTAATTTTACTGATGTCTTACCAGTTTTCACTTTCATGGATCACACTTTTGGCCTGTATCTAAAAACTCATTGCCAAACTCATTGCCAAACCCAGGTTTGTCTAGATTTTTCCTAAGTTTTCTTCTAGAAGTCTCATGGCTTTACATTCAGATTTATAATCCATTTTAAGTTAATTGAGTGAAAAGCATAAGGCTGTGTCTATATTCATTTTTGTTTTTTCCTACAGACTTCAGCTGTTTCAGTACTATTTATTTATTTATTTATTTATTGGAGAGGTTTTCGCTATAGGGCGCGTGCGCTCGCCAGACAGACAGAGAGAGAGACATAGAGACAGAAAGCGAGAAATCACCCCCCAGGGGGGATGGTCACGCCGCAATCCCTTCTCCTCCATTCTCCTCTCGGGATCTTGGGCACGCACGCACACGCGCCCGGCGTGAGATTTAAGCCACCGGGTCCGAGACGCAAACCACGGTCGACTACGTGGGAGTCCAGCGACATAGCCATTACGCTAACTGCTGGTTCCCCAGTACTATTTATTGAAAAGACTATCTAATTGACTTTGGTCCTTTGTCAAAGTTCACTAATTTGTGTGGGTCTACATCTAGGCCTTCTATTCCATTCCACTGATTACTGTAGCTTTCTAGTAAGCCTTTGTTACGTAGCTTGATTCCAAACACTAAAATAATTATTACTAGTGACATATTGTACTATGATAAGGATACGGAGAAAGTTACATCATATTTCAGCAGACCACATATGAGAGTGGGCCTTGACTACCAGCTTCCAAAATACACAGAAAACCGAGATTTTGACAGACAGGTTGGGAGCTCAGGTTATTGCAGGGCCACCCTCCGTCAGCTGCTCCTCTGAAGACAAAGAGCTCAGGCAGTGGCAGGGCTCCTCTGTCAGCCTTTGAGCTATTCTCTAAAGCTCGCCCCCAATAGCACCACCATGTGCTAGTGTTGAGGAACACTGTGTGTCATCAAGGATTTTCTTTGTGTCAGTTAGAAGGGTACACATGCTTTGTCAAAATTCATTCACCTCTATGCTTACAATGAATACACCTGATTGTTTTTCTTTTTAAAATTATTTATTTATATTGTTATTAT